TTATAAAGTGTCTACACTGAGGGGAAAAAATATTAAAATCAAATAGAAACGTAATTGATGTTACTATAAACGTCAAAAAAAGTACTGTATATTGGTAAATATTCATTTCAATTACGCGCATATTAAAATGACCGCCGTCGTTCTGAAAAAGCATCCGTGAAGTGAATAATCAAGACAAAAACTAAAAAAAAAATATTTAACTTGCATGTTGCCTGCAGTGGAATTCGAACCCTGACCCTATCTGGATATCAACAAATTGTGGCTTGCATCTTTGCGCACTGAGCTACACCCAGGCATACAAATTTGCTTTCAAATGTTGAATATCCATCAACACCACAGCACGCGATTTTTACAGATAAACATGTAGTATGTATGAATGTGTGTGTTTTCACCGCTCTCAGAGCGGCGCTCTGCATGCTTGGGGTGCATATATATACTCAGATGTGAACAGTCAAAATACGTGCGTAATAAATTTTGTATGAAAATATTATTTTTAAATACCAACATTTTTAAACGATAATCAAATATAAAGTATTCATTTTTACTAGGCATTATTTCCCTCAGTGTACGAACATCTTAGTGTGAAAATAATCGAAGCTAAGTGAAAATTTTGTGTTTTATATTAATTTTAATTAAATTTCACTAGCATACACCTAATCTTGCCGAGTCATTTGTTGTTATCATTGCTGTTGTAATACCTTTGTAGTTAACTGAAATCGTTTTTATTTTTGCACATTTCTTTTGCTCGTTTTGTTTACTTCTTTTAGTAATTCTTGTCACAGGTATTTGCGTTGCGTTTATTAAGTGAGTAGTCCACTTGCAAAGTGCGCTATGTAAATTTTTTTCGATTTTAATTTTTGGTGGTTAGCGTACCAGTATTTAAAGTAGTTTCATGTCCACCAACAATACAGTGCAAAATCCTTATATATTCTGAATAAAATAGTACCAAATGTTAGCTACTCTAGCAAAAGTCGCTATAATACTTTCTGTAGGTATATATACACTTTCAAAAGTCGCTATAATATTTATTGTACGTACTTATACAAGTTCAAAAGTCTCCATCTTCTGATGAACTTAGAAAACTGCAAGAAAACGTGGTAGTTTCGGTGCCTAGTGGAAGACGTCTTAAAAAAGAAGCAGACGAGCCTTCATGGAAGAGAGAACGCGGAAAGCTTAAAAAAAGCTGGCTATATGAAACTTACTGCTTCAAAACCCGCTATATTTAATTTCCATATATAAAATTTGCAAAAACTACCACACTGCGATTTTGATTTTTAATGTTATTAGGCTCTTATTTATCCAAATTTTCAGATAATAAAAAGAAATATACAATTTGGTTGTTACTTGTTGTTGTAGACGTTTTTTTTATTTATGGCTTACTATTATAAAATCACATAACGCTGTTTGCAAGTGGACTACTCAAGTGTCATAATACAGTGATACTCAAACTGTTCGCTACATACAGTCCTGTTTACATGGTTAGACGCACCCCCATGCGCAAAACAAATTTGAAGCTTTATGAATTATTGCTAATTTATGTAAAGCATTTATAACACAGAATTAAATAACTGTTCAAACTAAAATAACTCACACATAAACTAAATACAACCAAGTAAACATAATGGTGTTTTTTTTTAGCAATATTTCAAAGCTTGCCAAAGAGTACTTATATGTTTGGCGTTTATTAGATTAAACGCAACATCCAAACACTGAAGAAAACAAATTTTTCATTCTACCAAGTAAGTTTATTTTTGATTTAATTTTAATAAAGTAAGTTCAACATGCTATTTAATATTTTGTATTTCCTCCTTTATTAGAAATAACAGCAAAAGTACGGTCTTTCTTAGAGTCATATAGTGATTTTAGGTAATCCAATTGTAATCCAGCCCAGGCACTTTTTATGGCATTGATTAATGGTTGTTTGTCATTGTATTGCTTGCCTCCATCATATACTTTTCATTTTAGCCATCCCAACACCTTTTCTATTATGTTACTATCTGGAGAAAACGCTGGCCATTCCAGTAATTTCACATTTCCACTTGCTACACAAGTTTTCACGAGACGTGCAGTATGAATTGGGGCATTATCCTGTTGAAGAATCTAATCAAGTGGTCCGAAAATTTCCCTTATCTTCGGAAAAACCTGTTCGAGGAGTGTTTTGTAGGTCTGGCCAGTCATTTTCCCATCCACAAAAACTAATTCAATAGTCCCATAATAGGTGATTGCACCCCAAACCATTACACCACCTTCTCTGCGATGATGACGGCTCAGGAAAACTTCTTCTTTTCTCATATCATGAAAATAGTACTGACGCCCGTCCGGCCCATTAAAATTAAATTTTTTTCATCTGTAAAAACCACAAAGCGTCAATCATTAACATGCGTTCCCTCATGAACATCCCACGTCATATGCGCCCTCACAAATTGAAGGCGTTTTTCCTTGCGTTCAGCATCTAAAGGTTTTTTTTCATTGATTTCATTCTCTTTAAATGTCCAGCACTCCGAATAACTCTTCTTACGGCAGATACACTTGCAGAAACTCCGGCTTCATCCCTGATCCTGGGCACAGTAAGTGCCGCGTTCGAGGCTATGTTTATAATTTTTCGCTTCTTCCGTGGACTTAAGGCACTCGATACGTTCCCCTTATAATTTTTCTGTGAGATTCAGGGTTCTTCAGGTACCTATCCACAGTTCTCGAGCTACGCCCAATTTTTTTGGCTATTGCCCGGTTTGAAAGGCGTTGAGAGTGATAAAAGTATATTTTTTCTCTTTCTAGTAAACTTAAACAATTTTTTTTTACCCATTTTAAACAAATCACAATAAAAGCACTCAATTTTAGTGTTCTGAATAAGATTGATTTTATTCACAACACGCGCACGATGTCATTTTAGCGACTGCGTCTAATCTAATGAACGATTAAATAGCACTTATTATAATATAGACCCAAGAAATTGGGAAAGCTCCCGTTATGCACAGGTAGTTTGAACAGGTTAGGATAGATGTTGTTTTAGTATGCATTGGCATATCATTCTGTATTCTTATTGTTTTTCTATTGCGCCTCATAATTCTAAGGTTTCAAAATGTTCCTTACCCTTTCAAGTGCGTCTAACCATGTGAACCATATTACCATAATTGTTATTAATTTTTCACTATGAAGTGTGATCTTCATAATGGCAAGTTAAAAGCAAATCTGAACGCTACTTATTGTGCTGGCTCTGTGATAGTATTCGCTATCTCAAATGTGCTGGTTTCACAGGAATTATTCTAGACGCTATTAATGATGGCAAAGGTCTCCGCCTGTCTTGCTTAAAGACCAGGTCAACCGAAGTTTATATCTTTAAGTTGTTTAAGCAAACCAGAAAAGGTTTTTTCTGTGGTAGGGAGAGAGTTGACGTTACTGACCGAAAAATTTAAGCATTATGAAAATGCGTTTAAATCTTTTAAATGCTTGGATACCGTAAAATATACGAAGGACATTGGTGTCATCTAATCCTCCAACGTTTACTCAACCCTTTTCGCCGGTAATCGAGTCTAATACTAGCAGACTGGTTGTGGTTCACCCAAAGAAGTCTATATTTGACTCTAGATATTCTAGGGATACTTCCGATAGAAAGTTTTATATCTCGTCTAAAGTATCAGAAAATTTAGTTTTAAATATGAAAGAATTTAAAATTTTCCTAAATTTAGAAAATTTTGACATGTTGCTTAGTAGTTCTTTTTGGCCCTCCGGAGCTTTCGTTCGTTAACTCGAGTATAGGCCCAACAAAAATAATAATTTAGTAAATATTCCCCGTCAGAATACTGAATCAAAAAACTGATTACTATATCTGCTTTTAGCATTTATTATCAAAACGTAAGAGCCTTAAAGACTAAATTAACGAACTTATATCTTAATGGCCTTGAATGCAATTATAATATAATCTCTTTCACTGAAACTTGGCTCGAACTTCCCATTTTTAATTCGGAGATTCTTTCAAATAATTATTATATCTACAGAAAAGATCGGGAGGAGAGAATCGGCGATGGTGTACTTTTTGCCGTAGACTCCTCAATACCATCTGAAGAAGTTAGTCTTCCACTCATTGAATCTGCAGAATTGAAATGCATTCGTATACAGGTTTTAAGGGGGTTTACTTACTTAGCTCTATGCTATATTCCTCCCCGATCTGACTTATCAGTGTATTCACAACATGTCTCTTTACTGAAATCAATTAATTAAATGATTAAACCCTCTGATTCAATGATTGTGTTGGATGACTGTAATTTACCAAATGTATCATGGAACATCATTGACAATGATATCGTACCTTTCTCGTCTAGTGCGTGCAGCAACGTATTTTAAGAGGAGATGGATGACTGTGCCTAAATCAAGTTAATATACTTCGCAATAAGTTTGGGAAAGTATTAGATTTTGTATATGTTGATGATGCATATAAACCCGCTCTAATTAAAAGTGTCCCACTAGTTTTGCCCAAAGATGTCTACCACCCTGCTAATGAGATATCTTACGAAATTATAAACGATGGTCAAAATTGGATATCCAAACATACGAACCAAATACTGATTAAAGAATTGTCTAAATTGTCGTGGCCTATATACAAAAAAAAAAGGTTGAGCAAAGCGTTGCACATTTTAATTTAACTGTACATCAATTATTTGAAAAGTATACATACATTACATGTGTAATGTATACCCACAAATCATTTTATGATTTCGTAGCATCGAGGGAGATTAGTACATATACCGTATGTTATCTCAGCGCTATTATTCTTGGCCTATGACTATGGAAGGCCCTGCTCTTCAGTCCTTTCAACCTAAACTAATTATTTTTACAATATACACCGATTTTGCACTTCAACACTATTTATGTATTGGTCAACGCAAGGCAAACCAAGCTTTTGCTAGTGCATACATAAATATAAATGTTATTTTTCGAGTTCCATGTCGAATTTCGAAATTGCCAAATACCGAACCTTAGGAGAACGATCAATATTACTTTACCTGTTGATGTTGAACTAAATCTATTTGGATCTCCCATTGGTGACGTGTTTTGTGCATTCAATGATTTTGGTACAGCTGTAATCATATTTACATCTGGATGCGTGGCTCTCCAGTATGTCTATTTAAAGAAAATTATAAACGTTAATAACAATGTCACATGAGTTTTAGAATTTACAACAACAACAAGCTACTCTTATAATTATATTTAACACCTTCCAACCCCCAACGGAGTTTGTACACATGAGATAATTCAACTGATTCTGGAAATGCAAATTGCTTCCCTGTGAAGTTTTCTTCAAATATGTTAACCACTCATACTCTAACAAAGAGATCATGGAAGGAAGAGAAGTGAAGATATTGAGCGCTGTATACATAAAAAAAGTACTGAAACAAAATATGTTTCGAAAAAAGAGGAACATAAATCAGCAGTACTATGCTGTTAAACTTCCACAAAAAAGATATTCTTTCACAAGTACTTTTTGAGCATTTTAGGAAGTGTTCGTTTAATGGTACAGAATGCTGACTCTTATGTTAAATAGCAAACGTGGAGAAATAATGTAGGGCGCTCTGAATATTTAGCCAACAGCATATTTTTATAAAGATAGCGGACATTTTTATAAGAAAGTGGACATTTTATACAAAGAACAAATTTTTAAGGAGCAGTACAAAAGCAAAGTAAAAGTAAATTTTTAAATTTCTAACAATTCTCCGAAATAAATAACATTTTGAGCAGTTACATAAAATATTTTCTTTTGAAAAAAGATAATTTCGAGCCCTAACCGCCAAAATAACGTAAGCGACAATTTTTTCAAAATTTTATTTTTGATGCAGAAATGCATCTAGATGCTCTAGGAATATTTCTGCATCAAAAATAAAATTTTGAAAAAAATGTCGCTTACGTTATTTTGGCGGTTATGGCTCGATTTATGTATGCACAAACATTAGGGCGGGTCAATTTGTATGGATCGATTTTTTTCGACATTGTTCCTAGCATATTCGGATTCTTCATAAAATTCTAAGAACAAAATTCCTCCAGACCATGGCTCTTAAGTTAATTTCGAGCCTGCGCATTTTTAAAAGAAGATATCTTATATATAAAAATGAATTGCTGTCCGTTAGCCTCGCTAAGACTCGAAAACAGCTTGACCGATTTGAATATTTTTATTTTTTCGGTTTGTTTTTTATAATATCCGGATGGTTAAAACCAGAAAAAATAGAGAGTTGCCACCTGTTTAAAAATTTCAATATAAGTAAATTAATTACATAAATTAGATATTGCAATATGGGTGTCAAAAGAAAGAGGTTATGAAGGCTTACAGGCGAAAATATTTTTGAGGTGGGTTGCCACCTGTTTCAAAATTGAATTAAATGAAATTGATAAGATAAATTAAATATTGCAATATGGGCATCAAATTAAAAATGTTTAAGAAGGCTTACTACTGAAAATATTTTTGAGTCGAGTTGCCACCAATTTCGAAAATTTAATTCAATTAAGTTAATAAGATAAAGTATGTATTATAATATAGGTGTCGAGCGAAAAGTATTTGAAAAATTATTGATTAAGAAATATTCTCTATAGGCCTGCCACCTACCTGAGCGGTAAAAACTAAAAGCCATACTCGCAAATATTGTTCAAAACTTTTGAGGCTCGCATCAATGTGGAATACTGTAACTCCGTCAAGTTAGTGTTTATTGATGGCAAACAAAGTACTATCATGTTTGGCAATGATATCACCCCATCGAACAATGCACTCAGCCTCGATATAAAAAGAGAACAAAAGCCGAAGTATTAGCCGAAGCAGTTCATACAAATGTTCCACAATTGAACTAACAAAAAAATATGGCCTACGACTCTTTTATAGAAGCTGTGGACACTGGAGTAAAATTTAAACAAAAAAACAAAACCGACTTCAATTCTCATATACAAATTTAAAAGTACCGTTATTTTCTTCATGGCCCAATTATCGGATCTACACTCAATTAGTAGGAGACTACCTCTGAGGAACCACCTTTCCTTTCAAAAAGAATTATAGAAAACGGATAACGTAGTCCAAAGTTACGCGGTAACATACATAAAAACATATTCCGACGAATTGATAAAATATGCAGATTAATATTTAATAAAGTGTTACGGATATATTTTTTTTAATACAAACCTGTGCTTGGGAGCTTATTGATACGAAAAATTAATTTCTGATATCTATTTTTTATTTAAAGAACCGCAAGATTGCACTACAAAGCAAATTACATATTTTTTACTATTGTAACGGGAGAAGTTACTGTATGTATTTTTTTATATGTACAGTGTCGAACAAAAGTTTTGGCACAGTAAATTTTCGCATTACATATATGCAAAATTTTTAATTTATTTCCGATAATTTTTTATAAAAACATAGTTCATACTACACTAAAACACATAAAAATCAAATGTGTAAACTTTGTGAAAAACTCAGGAAAATTCAATAAATCTGCATACTAATTTGCAATTTTATATTCAGATTTTCAAGCAACTTCAAACCTGCACTTTGATAAACTAAAATTGAATGGATTATTAAACTGCATACTTGGAATTTTTCTAAAAAATACTTTGCCTATATTGCGTAAAATTTACTGTGCCAATACTTTTGTTCGTTACTGTAAGTTTAAGGGTTTATTTACCCTTAACTTTAAAAAACCAAAAAAAAATTTACAATATTTTAAAATTATTTTTCGAATCATTTTTTTATGATTAACAATGTATTTATTTTTTTTTTTGGTTTTAGATCCTTTTTGCTTTCAACACGAGGTATCTTTTTTCTAGTTTCTATTGTCATAGCCATAACTCACTCTCTATTTTTATCAATCAATCAATCAATGAATCAATTTTATAATTTTTTTCGGCATTTTTCCTAATTACAAGTAGAGCTTTATAAAACTTTTATAACACCAAATGTTTATCAAGCTTGGGATTTTATGTTATCCGGGCAGGCTTATTAATTTAGCCAGAGAATATGTTTTCTTTATAAAGTTTACCCAGTTACCCATTTTAAACTGCTACCTGTACTGTATCAGCGGTTAAAACTTGTTAAATTTTTATTTAAAATTTTCGGTAAGGAATAAGCGAGTGGATGAAAAATATATAAACCGTAAGAACGGCATATGTATATGAAAGAATACACACATGCGACGACTCTAGCCATTGTGTGTCACTCCTTTAAATTATAGTTATTTTTTTCTTATTGTATTAAAAAAATAACGTTCGTAACACTTTAGTAAATATTAATCCGTATATTAACTGAGTATATATTAAAGACTAGAAGATGACCCGGTGAACTTCATATCATCTATAATTTATTTGAATTTAACTTTAATAAATTATAACAAATCTTCAAAATGCAATACAATGAGATCACTAATACTGCCTGCTGTTATAGCTGATAAAAGATTCCACACTTATAAGATGTGCCACGCCCCTTTTTACAAACTCATTTATATACATATATCTTTCCATAAGCACCTACCATAGGTATCTGCGCATTTCAAATTTCGAGTTCATGTGACTATAAATCCGAAGATAGAGCTGATTAAAAATTTTCACTATGGGAGGTATCCCTCATCCCCCTCCCCCCCTTGGAGAGTTTAAATTTGTTTACCCTATTATAGGTCCAGGAGTCATGGCAATACTTTGGCAAAATTTTATTCGATTCTGTACATCCGTTCAGGCTGCAACCTGGTACATACATACATACATACTTCCACAAATATATAGTAGATTTGCTTTGTAGCGCCATCTTGCGGTTCTTTAAAAAAAAATAGATATCAGAAATTAATTTTTCGTATCACAAAACTCCCGAGCACAACTCCTTATTACAAAAAAAAAAAACATTCCTAACACTTTAGTAAATATTAATCTGATTATGGACTTAGTATTAATTAAAAATATTTTCTTTTAAAATTGCGCAGGCTCGAAATTGATTTTAGAGCTATGGTCTGAAGGGCTTTTTTTCTTAGAATTTTATGTAGAATCCGAATCTGCTAGGAACGATGTCTAAAAATGATTCGCGGCAACACTGTTTGCGTGCGTGATTTCTCAGAGTTGCATTTCTGTCAAAATTACAGAAGTTTGCCGAGAAAAATTTGAATTCATAGTCGCGCCAAAATGCCAATTGAGCATAAACATCAAATCGAAATGTCACGCAAGACAAATCTTGGAATTTGAGTTAGCTTTTTACGCACGCATATAAGGTTGGCCTGTAACAATTCTTCCCGATATAAATTGGGCTTTAAAGTGCAGAAATTTGTACTATGGTTAGGATTGCATGTGGGGGGATTTGAACTCGCGGGCTCGGTGTTTAAGTCAACACCTCAATCTCTACGTGTTGTAATAATAATAAGCTAAGGCGCTTACACAATAGTTAGTGTTTGGCCGAACTTCTTCTCCGATTTGTCGCGTGGGCCTTATTGTTGTGGCACAAAGGGGGTGCCTACAGTTTTATGTCGACTCTGAACGGCGATTGTACTTTATGGGAAGCTGTTTTTCATTTTCAAAGTTTGCGCACTTCTAACCACTACACCCCAGCGGCCTATATGCGAGACCTATATTCAGATAATTTCTTTGGTTTTTGGTATCGATATTTGGAATATCGAGTATTTTTATTCCGATATTAATGAGTACCAGATATTTTTAAAGCGATACTTTAAATGAGTACCATATCGATACTTTCGGTTCGATATCGTGTCCCTACTTCGNTACACAAATACAGGAAGAGAGACAGGAGAAAGTCGAGACAAAGGTAGAGGAGTTGGAAGGTCGTCTTCGTGATTTACAGTTGAATCGTCCAGCTACTTCGACGAGCGCACCCAAGGTAAAAACCCCATCCTTTGACGGCACGATTCCTTTCCAGGTCTTTAAGCTCCAGTTCGAAAAAACGGCTGCAGCAAATCATTGGAGCATGGAGGATAAATCCGCTGCACTATTCGTTGCATTGAAAGGACCTGCGGCAGAAATCTTGCAGACTATTCCCGACTGTGAAAGGAACAGTTACGATGCGTTAATGGGTGCAGTGGAAAGACGTTATGGTAGCGAGCACCGGAGACAGATTTACCAGATGGAACTGGACAGTCGCTGCCAGAAATCCA